AAAATGAAACATGGGGATTGGAAATCAAATGTCCATTTTCCAAGTACAACATTTCTCTTCAAGTTGCTCTGAAGGATAAGAAGTTCTTTCTTGTTGAAGATGGTGGTAATTTTAAGCTGAAGCGCAAGCATGCATACTTCTACGAAGTTCAAGGCCAAATGTTTTGTGCATTGAATTGATTGAAAAGGAGAGTTGATTTTGTAGTTTGGTTTGGAACTGGGAGGCCATTGTTTGTTGAAACCATTTGCTATGATGAAGAATTTATGGTCAATTATGTTTTTCCAAGACTGAAGTATTTTTTTTGTAGAGCAGTTCCCCCTGAGTTTTTCACAAAACGTATTAAACAGGGATTTAAATTGTATTTGCATGGTGGCTGGGAGAATTTTGATAAAAAGCATATTTTATGAACTGATTATATATCTGAAGTAAGAAGTAATAGACCAGTATGTATAATTTAAAAAAAAGATGAGTATTTGTAAAGTATTTAATATCACCTCTACTACTGAGCTAGCCATCACAAAACATTCTTAATTTTATAAGTTTGATAGTTTTAAAAACTTGACAGGAATATACACACAAAGCCATTTTTGCATTGTATAATATGATTGTATTAGATATCTTTGTACAGACAGTTGTTAAAGGTTGAAAATATGTTTATCTACATTGTAAAACATCATAGTTAATATACTTTCAGATAATATGTATTTATGACATTATTGGGGATACTATGATTTGAACAATCAACTAGATACTTAAGCATTTTAGACAACTATTTTGATAAAATATAATATTTTGAACATATTTGTATAAACAGCTGCATAATTATTGCATTAAACATGTAGCAACTTAGAACCATCCCGTTTTATAGACCAAAAACATGTACAGCTCTGCCCATACAACATCTAGCACTTTATGATAGACCAGTAAACAGAAATTTTCATTACATACAACTATGTGTATAAAACGATCAATGTAAGTAAATTGTACCAGGAAAATTTTTTTTAAAATAATTAACGACGTTTCAAGCATAGCCCGTTATCATAGCCCGCTATGCTCGAAACGTTGTAAATTATTTTAAAAATAATTTCCTGGTATAATTTACTTACATTGATTGTTATATAAATTCATCATATTGTACCACACGCATTTTATTATATTTATGAAACTATGTGTATACTATATATATGTAATCATAAGACAAAGGCTGAAAGGAGGAAAATTATTACCACAAGAGTGCATTAAACGTTAGTATATTTCATTAAACGTTATACCTAAATGGTGACTTGCTACTTGTTATTTCTGCTTCACCTAGTTATCATGTAAGGAGGCAGCATACTGTGAAGATTTGATCAGCAACAGGGTATAGTGAAAGAGGTAAAACACCATCAAGTGTAAGACACTCGGTTTAGCAAAACGCAGAACTTTCGACATCAATTTTCATTCATCTTTTTGGTATAGGCCATCCACTTTTTCACAAACACGCGGTCGCGTGAAAACGAGGCAAATAGATTACGTAATCCCTAAAAAGAGTTCCTTATTGGGAGGGGTTTGAAACAACTTAAATTTACCATCTAATAATATAAAATATATCATTGTTCTTACAATCCAACACAAGGATGTGATAATTTTTAACTCTTCCTATGGCTCTTTCTACATGTACGCGCACTGAAGCAATTCGGGCTGTTTCTTCAGTTTCCTCTGCTGAAAGCTGTGCTCTTGTGCCTTTAAAAGGAGGAATGTTCAAAGTAACACCAGGAGGAAGGATATCTCTTATATCAAACCCACGATCTGCCATTATGTTGTCACCATCCTCTAAAAGTGATAAAACACCTGATTTGAGTGTAATTTCTTTGTCAGAAACTCTGCCAGACCATAACTTTGATATGAATGTAATGCATCCAACTGGTGAAATTCCAACAAGAGCCTTCCATGTGTTATGGTGTTTGTAATCTGACCATGTTTGTGACTGTGATTTCATTGATGATGGAACCTCTATGAAAACTTCAGTACAATCAATGATGATTCTAGTTGTGGGGAAATCTTTGAACTGAGATGGCATATTTTTACGTACAAGGTCTTGAGATGGAAACGGAAATAAAGTTGGGAGTTCATGATACAAAAAGCAAATCCAGGTTGTAAAGATCTTTGAAACTTGACCAGGAGAGATTCCAAAGCGATCAGACAAATCAGAAACAAACAAGCCAACTTTCAGTCTCATCAACACCAACACAAACTCTTCTAGATGAGAAAGTGTGCGCTTTCTGCCAGGCTTTAAGGAAGACTTTTCATGGTATTCAAGATCAGTATTGAAAGATGATTGTTTACCACGCCAGTAATGCATTCGAGACAATTTTGGTTCAAAATATTCAAAAGTTGCCAGTAGAGAAGAGAAGTTAGGGAAACCAGTGTAAAACTTTGTTGCACATTCATCAGCTTTTAATTTTTCAATTGAAAAGAGGGACTTCTTTAATTCTGCTATCTGCAACTCCAACAGTGCCACTTGATCAGAGTCAGAAGGAAGATAAACAGCTGACTTTACAAAAGAGAAATCTGTTTGCGTTGATATTGTAACAGAATTATCAGTAACTCTACTGTACCTACCCCTTCATCAGAAGCTACAAATGCGGGGGCAACGGAGGTATCTGAAGAAGATGTTGAAGTTGAGGGTGAAACACAGCAGCAGAGCTTCCATGCAGAAAATGCCAAATTTAAAAAAAGACAAAGTATTGATATGCCAGAACACAGTGAGGAGGGCGCATTTGGATGTGATAATATTGACAATTTGGGCAAAAAATGTGAAGAATTCAAATCTGAATTCATTCAACTACCTGATGAAAGATTGAAGGGCTTAGCAATTGAAAAAAGCAATGCTTCGTCAATTGGTAGCAATGTACACGAGAGTAAAAAAAGAAAAAGATGGTTTCATAACACGTGAAGAAATCAATGCATGCAAATCGTTACAACGGCTAACCGGTATCGTTGGACATGAATTTACCTTCGATCTTGAAAATTATATGGTATATTGCGATTTATGTCCCATTCAACATCGATGCCTTTGGAATGATTCATTCTTCTCGTTTATTGTGCTATTGCAATTAGTATCAATTATGTTATATTTGATATCATGGCCTTAGGGGGCTGTTATCTATGCTTATAAGAAAATCATTGAAATTTAATTATGTTGCTCTTAAGCCTAGCGCACACTAACGATTTTGTCGCCAGCGACGGCGATTTTTGTCGCCAGCGACGGCGATTTTTGTCGCCAGCGACGGCGATTTTTGTCGCCAGCGACGGCGATTTTTGTCGCCAGCGACGGCGATTTTTGTCGCCAGCGACGGCGATTTTGTCGCCAGCGACGGCGATTTTTGTCGCCAGCGACGAACATGTTCCAGCGACAAAAATCGCCGTCGCTGGCGACAAAAATCGCTAGTCTGCGGGGAAAAACATCACAGGATTTTTGTCGCCAGCGACTAAAAACTAAAAATCGCAAGTTTGCGGGGCGCAAAAACAAATTCTTGTTGATCAGCCCATCAAGTGTTTTCAAGGCACGTGGAAAGTGTTGTTGATTTTTAAGAAAGTTGACAAGATGGTGGTCGCAGGAACATGTTCGTTCTCTAGGAGAACGCATTAAGAGGATTTGTTAGTCGATTTGTGGCGCGAGAAACCCTGCTGGTACGCCATATCCCCTCAACAATACGACGATAGAACGGCAAAAGCTGCAGCCGTAGCTGAGCTTGCTGATGCTCTTGGTGCCACGGGCGGGTACTACTGCTCTCAATTATTTTAAACTTATTTGAATAAACACGAGCAAGATTTCTCTCTCATTGCAGTAACAAATTTGCACTTCTTTTAATATATCCTTTTAGCAGTATGGGTTGCCTATAAAGCGAAAAATCTTAACGATGTTTGTTTTATTATCTACTAGCAACTAACAGTAAAACAGATATCAAACAAATTGTGCATAAAACCTATGTGTTGGGTTCTCTACAGTACAAAAGAGAAGAAAATAAAATAGGTAGCTTAATTTAGGCCAAACTGAATCTACAATTTTGGGCATAATATTTTTGCCATTAAATATGGCCTGGTTAAATAATCAAAGCTGGCGTTATTTTCTATTGTTTCTGTCTAAATTTTCCCACCCCGTAAGTTTTTAGAATGTCCAGGCACATGCATGGGTTATAAAAGATTTGATTCTTAATTTCTGGCCTTTTTTCGAGGCTCGTTATGAGGTGGAGACCAAAAATCATTGGCCAAGGCAAAAAGTGTGCGGGGGAAAACATTTAGTCCCCAGCGACAAAAATCTCCGTCGCTGGCGACAAATATCGCTAGTGTGCGCTAGGCTTTAGGAAACACTGAGAGGCCCTTTAGATGAGAAATTTCAGGCCGGTTTGAAACTCACGCCGGCCTGAGTTCAGTTCGGGTGTGCTAATTTCTTTCGCGTTCACACGGATATTTCAATTCAGTTGGAATGAATTTATGAATACAGCGTTTTCACACATTCAAAGATCAGGCGCTGTAACAGGAAGTTTCTCAAGCAGTTTTAATGTCAAAACAAGGTACAGGCAAATCAGGAATAGGTTTGGATCTCAGGGCGGCGCGAGTTTCAATTCGCCCGAAGTACTCAAAGGGACTTGACCAAACACCGAATTGAACTCAGACCGGCGCGAGTTCAAACCGGTCTGAAATTTCTCATGTGAAGGGCCTCTCAGTGCCGGAATTTTCCGCAGCATTAAAAACTTGAGTACACTATTTCGACCCTTATTTCTCATAAGAAAAAGCGTCAACCAAACGACAAAGCAAAATACGAAAGTTCCATATTTTTCACTTTACCCATGAATAGGTTAAATTATTATGCTGCATCAATATGGTTGTCTAATTGACATATAAAATTTTGACGCAAACGAAGAAATGGTCTTTAGGTCAGTCTTGATCCTTGTTTCTTGTAAAGAAATTGTTGTAAGTTTGTTAGAGAGAAGAAGAGACACAAATAATGTCTGATGTAATATAAAAGCTAAATAAAAACATGCTATCTATAAATCTGTTCAAGAAATACAAACAGCTTAGAGAAAAAAGTTCCTCTTAACGTCCTTTTAAGTAATGGGTCAGTTAGGCTAAGAAGGTAAAACCAAGGTCAGAACTGATTCTGTCTCTTTAACGTCCACTGTGCCTTGGCACAGCCTTGATCAAGGCACGTAGGTTTCTGTTGAATTCGACCTTCGCTTTAAATGCAGCGACTCTAGCCGAATGTAGGTACGCAACAGCCTAAATAGTAAGAGAAAAGGAAGGATTTTACTCAGTTAACATATTACTCGGTTAACATATAACTCGGTTAACATATAACTCAGTTAATATTAAATGATTGGATAAAGATATACCTCATAGCAACAGTCTTCAAATGAACCACTATTGTCGGTAAATGAAAAAGCACCTAATTTTGTTTTCATTGACATCTTCGTTGGTAAATTTTACTGCTGACCACCCTCCACCAAGAGCTGCAGAAAAGGGGGGCTCAGGGGGGGGGGGCTGCGCCCTCTCCTCTTTTTACCGGGTAATTCTCAAATATAATTGCTAATTTCTGCCAGGATCAAATCTTTGATTAACCAATATTACTTTTTAACATTTGCAATAACGTGTGACTTGAATAGCCTTCTTGATAACTAAATTATATATTTTTAAGATTTTTCTACTCAAGTAACAGGTAGACATTGGAAGATGATTTTACCCTTCAAAATGAAAAGATAGAGAAATTGACTTCGAGGAGCCATGCAAACGAAAACAATTGAAAACAATCGAATTTGTATGCAAAATAGAGAAAGCTCTATAGCACGATACGAAAGCATGTATACAGAAAAGAGAAAGTTCAACTGACCTCACAACACGGCGGTTAGCAGTGCAGTGGCATTTCAGGCTCACGGCTTTGAAGTATGGTCTAATGAGTTTGACCAAAGAAGTTTTAAATTTCCTTTTAGACTTTGCATCTTGAACTTCTTCTGGCTCGTCTCCCAGTGCAGCCGGCATATTGCAACTGCAGTATCTTCCTCCGACTGAAAAGAATTGGTCCCAACGTCCCTTCCTTTTTGCGTCTTTTGCAAGTTCCGAAATATTTTCTTAATCAACCTCATCCTCCTCGTCGAAGTCTTCATAAGCTGCTTTAAACAAAGCACGTGATGATTACAATAAACGTCTCTCATTTAATTGCTGCATCTAAAATGTTGTCTTTCATCTATTTGGCCGGAATCTCCGACGCGGACATGCTGAGGGTACCCTCCCCCACCCCACCTGATAATTGCAACTCAGCTTTGCCTCACTCTTCTTCCAGACCTCCCCCCTCCCCTTAGTTTGATTTGCGTTCCCCAGTCACCGCTCATCACTGTACACGCATAAAACTGTTTTAAAGGATAAATTCTAATGTTTATCTCTGAATGTGAGTGAACTATTTACTTTACCTTGGAAGCACGTTTAAAGATTTCATTACCAAAGAGATTTAAGAAAAATGTAAGAAACACGGCTACTCTCATCACTCTGAGGGAAAGTTTTGTCACGTCAGGGACTCGAAGCACGGACCCAGGGACACCGGAACGACCAAAGGGCAAGGGACAGGCTTAAGTAGAAGGGCATTTGAAAAAACTTCCAGCTTCTACTAATTCTTTTGTAGCTGTCATTTCATTTCGTTGTTCTGCATACATCTTGAAAGTATGGGCTAGCTTCAGTTAAAAGAAATTCTTGTACAAGTTTTCAGAAATTTCGCAATGTAAAAAGCAGTACAGCCAGGACTTCATGTGAGTCTCGTTACTAATTACAAAAGGCGGAGAACAAGGGCAATTTCATTTGAAGGGCACCTTGCCCCTTGCCCCTTCTATCAGAAAGCAAAAAGGGCGGTCTAGACCCCAAGTTTTAAAAGCATGCCCCCAGATTTCTCCAAAAACTTGTTTCTTAGTCACAGATTGATTCAGACGGAAACCCTGCAAAAATCGTAGTTATACTTTATAAGCGACAAATCTCATGAATTTACGATTCGATAACGTTTGTTATGCAGTGAGTTTATAAAGAAGATTTATTATAGTTTGTATAGAGGCGCGACTTGCGGTCGTGTAATAGTTTATGCAAGGACAAACACTGTCCCTCTGGAACAGCTTTTATGATAGAAGATGAAGATGACCCCCTCTGCGGAATGAAACTGACCGGTACATGGTAGTAATAAGGGGTGTAACTTGAATTTCCCTTACCTGCTTCAGGGTCTTCTTCCTTGTCCTCTTCAACATGGGCAGCTAAAAGGGAATTGTCAGTTTTAGGTACAAATATTAACTTATAACTCTTTGAGTGGCGTATGGCAAAGGATCGACTAGAAATCACCTTTCAGCGTCTCCCGAAATTCGACACATCTAGAGAATCAAGAGGCAAAAGAAACACACAAAATACGAAAAAAGGTGCGATGTTGGATTCGAAGACACACAAAACAGCAGACACGAGCCTAAAAATTGGTCCAAAGTTAAGAACAGTGAAATGCAATTTTGAACAACGTTCTATTTAAAACACGAGGATTTTTAGCCATGTGTGGCTGCTTTTTCGGTGAATATTCAAATTTGTCGGCAAATGAATGTTGTCTCAATCCCTTTGTTGGCAAATGAGGCCTGAACACCTCCCTAGAGCAAAAAGGCTAGCAATCGCACTGCTTACATGCTATTAATTTAAGAACAATCCAGCCTAAGATTTTCGAAAAAAAATAAGAACAGTGAGCCTGAACTTGAATTTACTGATTCTTATAAAAAAGTGTACATCTAATATTACAATAAATCTTTCCACGCAAGGATATTAACCACAAGCCATCAAATATGATGGGGTTTTTATCAAAAGCTATAAAATTGACTTACTGTAAACTGCTGCGGCAAGCAGAAGAACAATTCCAACGAATTTGAGATCCATGTCGATTCTAAAATAAAAATAGAGAACAGTATCAGAAACTTGAATCTAGAAATAAAATGCTACTCACACCAAATGTTATTGAAATGTCAAATAGCAAATGTCAACTTTGTGTCACGACCCGTCTGCAAATTCTTTGAGTTTTTATATAACAAACAACTTGCCTTTCAGTGATTCACGATGCTTAGAAAACCGTCGAGTAAAACAGTTGCACTAAAAGCCCTTATTTATACTTTTTAATAAATTGTATCTTATTGTCTTCAAGATTCACATCATCTACTCTTTATCCAATAGGATTTGTCTTTAGGGCTCGTGTTTCTTTATTTAAAAAGAAATTAGATAAGCTGATTCAAATTTGAGTTGTGAAGTTTTTCATGCGAATCAAAAGCTTTCAAATTCGCACATTCCTGCGTTGGTATGAATATTTCTCTGGTTTACCGTCTTTGCTGCGGTTATAAATTACATTTTATTGACATTGTACCTAAAACGTATTGTATACTTTATACCGTGGACCGGGCTGTTCAGGATTCAAAGAGACAACACCATATTATATCAACATAAACTTTAATATTTATTTAAAACCAAAAATCACTATTCCATCACCGCTTGTTACAATCTCTCCGCTATACTGATTTTATTGCTGACGTGCTGCGTTCTTGTGGCCTTGCGTTTATTGCTGAAGTGGCCTTGAATTTATGACAGCTTCTATTTCGACTAAAATGGTGTTTAATTCCTGATAACTTAGGAATGCGCGTCATATATTCTTGATCAAACAACGTTTCACGCTTTTAGCTAATCTCATCAGCCACCTATTCATGGACTTTTTTCTAAGATAAATTTCCACCTGACACATTGACTTGTGAGATGCTCATATATCTTGGGCGAATGAAATATTTTCTTTACTTCCTTTGACATTGCCTTATACGTCTTGGCATTATAACTCATGATTAATCCAGCTACACCTCTTCGTAAGGCACGAATAAATGCAGACACGTCTAAAGATTCTATCAACTCTAAATGGACCGCTCTGGTCGAAGCGCATGTGAACAAGCACACGTAACATTTCTCTTCATTTTTGTCTACGCCCTTTACATAAAGTGAACCCGCGAAATCAACTTCCTGTATTACTAAATGGTGGACTATCGTCTACTCTAAAGTCGGGAAGGTCTTGAGTGATATTACATTCAAGCCCTAAAACGAGAGGAAATGGTAAACGTGGAGAGCCTGTGGAGAAATGTTTTGCAACCACGCCCTTTAGATTGGCTTAAAATACATTTCAGAATATTCCTTACAGTCGTTTGTTTCCAGTCTTTTAAAACTTTTTAAATTTGGTCTGAAATATCACCCCACCTCGGCCCCGCCCCCGAGGTACTAATTTTATTGTTGTAGTTTTGAACTTTTCTCAGACACCAACTTTCTGTGCATTGGGGGCCCCCTTGCACACCCTGGCTACGCTGCTTGAACAACCTGAGGCTAAGCTACTATAAGGTGTAATTTTGAACAATGTTTTATCTAAAAAATGGGGTGTTTTTGCCATCTTGCTTTGTTTTTCGATGAATTTTTGCTAAACGTGTTGGCAAATAAAGGACGCCTCACCCACTTTGTTGGCAAATGAGGCCTGTACACCTCCCTAGAGCGCAATAGTTAGCATTTACTCTGCTTATACCCTAGTTATAACAGAACAATGCAAGAACAATCCAGCCTCAGTTTTTCTAGAAATAATCAAGAACAGCCAGCCTGAACTCAAATCTTCTGCTATACAGTCGAAATGTGTCTTCTTAGACTTAGAAAACAAAATCTTCACGTTTCCTGAACAGAGCTTTCTGTTTTCTTCCTATACTTTATCAAGGAATCTTATTCTTTATAAACAAAACCCCCATCCGTGGTGAAATCATGACTCACATTATAGCCCTCGCAATTGCTAATCTGTTGCCGCCTTAGAAGTAGTCGCATCGTTGGGTTTTTTGTGTTGCAAAGACGGTACTGTTCTTGAAAAGAATTATTTCTTAATAATGGGCAGCGTATAAGAACTGATAAAAATAATGCGGTAAAACACATAGATTGCTTTGATTTCCATGTTCCAGTTGCGGCAACACATCTTCCTGTTTTTCAAATCTGTTTCCTTGAATTTCCTAAAATCGCTTGAATATTCCTATAAAATTTCTATTACACTGCCAAAAGTACCCGAAACAAAGTTACTCATTCCATTAAAGAATTTTATATCCAACATCAATTCTCCGTCAGTTGAAAATGAGACAAGAAAACAACTCGTTTCTGTAGACTCTATACAATATTATGGTGCATACGAAATATATCCTTCGGTATCAAAACCTTAAATAGTTTATAAGCACAAAATATCTTTTTATATCTCGTAAGAGTTAAAACATAATCTATGCGCCCATTCATCTATTCAAGATTGTGATTCCAAATAAAAAAGTGGATGTGAAGCTATAAGCTTCAGTTGAATGTCCGCCATATTAGCTCAGCCTCTCCTCTGCTTCTTGACTTGAGCAACTAAATATTTGACGTGTTTGATGAAGACTTTCTTCTGCTTAAGGTGGATGTAGTGAGCAAGGTGCAAGTAGTTCAACAATCTTCAAGAAAAATGTTCATCATCAGTTTGGTTCAAGAAAAGCAATATGCTATAGGTGAATTACGGTGGCCCACAGGTGCCACGGCAAAACTTAATTTCTCACGGCAAAACTTTCTTGCTCACGGCAAAACTTTCTTTAGTAAAAAATAACAACAACAACATTCCAATTGGTGAGAAAAGATGGAGAATGGCAGGGAGATGGCAGATGTTGTATAGGTGATACTTAGATCTAATCGATGCTTTAGACGTTTTAAACTTCGCAGATTCGCGAATACCTACATCTTCTCTTGATAATTCTTGCAGAAAGACAGCCTAGAAATGGTCTAAAATTTATCTAGGTTGGGCTAAGCCAGGCCTAGATGCCTATCTCAACGACACAGTACCGCATGCAAGGTCTTTGATTCCTTTGTTTTGAAAGCAGTAATAAGATCAATTCGTTGAAAATTGGCGTGCACATAAAATTCGTGCAAAAAAATCTCGTAGGTGCACTTGCCACGCTCGATTGGGGCTTGTACAAAATCTATAAATTAGGCATTGTGTTTAATATCATATCATATCGTAATCGTTTTACTCAGAGGGTGTTTTGATGGCTAGGTACTTAATTTTTCGTAAAATAGTAATAACAATAAATAAAAAATGGAATGATAAGCATGGGCATAATATAAGGGGAGAAAAAAATTGAAGTGGTTGCCCAACAAACAACATCCATTGTTTATGAAAATTTTGCCTGACTGACTCATAATAGATTTCTGCCTGATTATTGCTTTTTTGGAAACTTTTCAATGTTGGGAGACTACAGCTGCAGCCCCCTTATCTCCCCAGACCCTTGTCTTCTACGCCTATGTCAAAAAAGCAACCAATGGCGGCGCCAGCCACAAAATATTGCGGAGGATTTCTGGTAGGGGCTTTGCCCCTGAGGAATCTGGGGGTCTGGGGAAAAAGTTTTTGGAACACGCCCCCTACTCTCTCTGAGACAGAAGCTGAATTATTTAATACATGGGGAAACAACACTAAAAATCACTCTATTTTATACGAATCTTCAATTCTAAAAACGTAAACAGTTCCTTAGTTTGAGAAAAGCATATGTTACAATGGAATCTTGCGATGATTTGCAAGTTTAAAAGTTAAGAATGGGCTGCACCGGTCCTAAATCAAGTACTTGCGCTCTGTTGGCCTCATTTATTATTTCTCTTGATGGATCTCTACCTTCCGCCATCATGCTACTCATCTGACAACTGAAGAATTTGGTCAGTATTCATATCTATCTAGCAGCCTTATCATTGATATAATGATTTGGCACCAACTCTATCATCATCAGGTCTTTGAAAAAGACAGTCACGAAGGCCGACATCTAATAACGGTATACTCATAACTAACACATAATGAAATTCTGTAACGACACAGGGTTCCTTACGGACAGTATCACGTGACAATTGCATCTTTGCGCTCTGATTGCATCAGCGTCTGTAAATATTTTTTTGTATTAAGCCTGGTTCCCACTTGGTCGTTTGGGTCGTTTGACACGTCAGAGTCGTACCTGAAAGACACGAACGACCCAAAGAACACATTGGTTTCCTCTTGGTTGGTCATTGCTTGCACCGAGCATCGCTCATTTAATTTTGTCGGCATGGGTGGAAGGAACGATCAGGGACGACTGCACAAGATTAGGGCAGGAGGGGCACTGTTGGTGCCAAAAGGCAAATCATTGAATTTTTCTATTAACATAATCGAGCATCCCTAGGTCGGAGGGGGGCGAGGGTGGGGTAATATAATAAAATATTACCTTGAATATGTGCCACCCATACAGCTGGGTTTTTTACCAACAAAGATTCTAAACATAAAGAAAATGTTGACGAAATTATCCATCAATGAAAATGAAAAGCAATAAAAATTTTTCAACTTCCTCAAGTTTCCAAATTTTTGGCCACCTTCCTCAATTTCTCTTTGGCTCTACAACCTTCCTCTGGCCGGTGGCCGTCGGGCCGTGATGTTTTCCTGACTCTGTCCCCATGCTTATTATTTCATTTCTTAATTATTTCGTTGCTATTACTATTATTCTAAAAAAATTAAGTACCTAGCCATCAACCTACCCTGTGAGTAATACGATATGATATTATATTAAACACAATACCTAATTTATAGATTTTGTACAAGCCCCAATCGAGCGTGGCAAGTGCACCTACGAGATTTTTTTGAAAGAATTTTATGTGCACACCAATTTTCAACGAATTTATCTTTTTTACTGCTTTCAAAACAAAGGAATGAAAGACCTTGCATGCAGTACTGTTTCGTTGAGATAGGCATATAGGCCTGGCTTAGCCCAACCTAGATAAATTTTAGACCATTTCTAGGCTGTCTTTCTGCAAGAATTATCAAGAGAAGATGTAGGTATTCGCGAATCTGCGAAGTTTAAAACGTC